CTTACATATACGTACTCACAAACATATATATTTACAAATAAATATAACAAATATCTAAATTATATATAATGTTGGAAAATGATAAATGCTGTGGGAAAAACAGAAAAGACAGCCATTTCATATGGCAAGTAGAGGCAGATTATAATTTCAAATAAAGTGATTAGGACAGACTTCATTAAGAGGGTATTATTTTTGCAAAATTCAAAGAAGGAAGAAAATTAGTCAAGAGGATACCTAGAAGAAGATGGTCTCGGGAAAACAAAATAACTTGTACAAAGACCCTGAGTTGTAAGTATGCTGGTGCTGGTGCTGTTGAGACAGAGCAAGGAGACCAGTATAGTTAGAAAAGTGTAAGTGAGGTATAGAGAAGTAGGAAAAAAAAAAGTCAGAGAAGAAAAGGATGATCATCCTGGCCTTGGAAGCCAGTATAAGAAGTCAAGCTTTCATTCTTAGTGAAATGGAAGCCATTGTTGTGCTTTGAGCAGTGATGTGACATTATCAGTCTAGTCTTTTAGAAGTATTTCTCTGGCTGCTTCATTGAGAATAGAAAATAGGGGCAAAGAGAGAAACAGGGAGACCAGTGTGGAGGCAAGGGATGATGAAACAGGGTGGTAGCAGTGATGGTGGTGAGAAGTGGTCAGGTATATAACCTTATGCCTTTTATACAGTTTTTCACTGCAATCAGACTTTCTAGAAAGTATGCAGACCATGTCTCTTTTGATCACAGTTGTTTCCCTGAGTTCCTGGTACAAGAGCAGATAGATAGTAAGCACTTAATAATATTATATTTTGGATATAGAATAAGTTTTTAGAAAAAAACTAGCTATTACTTGTCAAGTATATGATCTTACTATTTTACACAAAGTTCTCATGTAAACCTCAGCACACCCCCTTGCAGTTAGTGCTATTATTATTTCCACTTTACTGATTAGGTAGCTGAAGCTCAGAATGGTTACAAACTTACCCAATCCAGTCAGTGGCAGAGCTGAGACTTTAGGTCATCTGATTTCAGGGTATCTGTTCTTAACACCATGCAACACTGCTTTAAAAAACTGTAAGTCACAATTCACTATAATTCATGGATTCCAAAATATGAGTTTTTATGCTTGGCGTCTGTTCATTTTCATAACTGCAGAAACATGATAGGTAAGGTACACACAGACACTAAGATAAAATGTACTTTCTTTGTGAAATTAATCACCCACACTAAGAAAATCTAAAATGTGCCATAAAAAGAAGCAAATTGTCGGTGATAGCATTTGAAATTGTACCTTTTATTTTTATTCAGTCTGGAATATGTTGGAATAGAAAATGTACCATGAGCAATTTGTTGTCTAAAACACTAAAGTGGTTTTCTGGCAAACTAAGATAATACATCTCCTCATGTAAATTTTATTTGAATGCATAGAACTCTTACATTTAAACTTAGTAGTGCTACATTTTTCCAATTCTGTTAGTGGTGCATTTTTAAGATATATGACTAAAGAATCCAATTATACAACTCAGGGCACAATGAACATCCAAAAAAGGGCTTTAGAAATGCAGCAGACCTTACTTTTACCTCTAAAAGGAAAAAACTAAAGCCACACAATTGAGGATTAATGAACCATATGCAAAATTTAGTGAATAATTTATTTAGCAAAATAGAGTGCATGAAAGAGGTATGTGAAAAATTAGCACTGCCATTTCTGGAGGGTTTAATATTGTGGTAAAATTGAAATACAGAAGGGGATGTACAGTTGGTTAAGAGAGAGAATTTTGTCGGTGGAGAGTAATGATCCAAACACGCTGATGTGTTTTTGATGGCACAGAGCTGTCATGAACTTCCCCAGCTCTAGAGAATATTAAGAAATTCCTAGTAAAAGGCTCCTTCGTCTAGAAATCAAGTTAAAAATATAACATGGCTTAAAAGATGCATGTAGAGAACCTGGTAATGTTTGAGAATTTCAATTTTCTGATTTTTAAAATACACATCTTTTGACAAGAATCCTGCATAGTCAGAAATATAAATGTGCCTTGCATTACCAATTAGATGACATCCTGAAAATGTGTCTCAAGAACCCATTTTTCCCCATTGTTCTATTATAACAGATTTACGTTTAAAATGTAAGAACAATACCCTCAAAATACTTCCATGCATGGTTCATCTATTGTCCCAAATAATTCAGCAAAAAAAGAAATCATGGTAGTCAAATATCACTTTTTTGGGTATACCTTATTAAAACAAAGTGAACTTTACTCAAAAAGCACATCAGCCACAGGAACATCAAATATTAAGATCTGCTTGACACTTAAGATGAAAATCAGAAATCTGCTACCCAGAAATCATGAAAATTTGCTTTCACATACTGCTTGATTAAATACTTTATTCGAAAGAAGACAGCTACATAAGTTGTTAGGAATGACTTCCAGACTTAATTTGAACACATTCACAAATATTCCTTGACTATATTATTTGTACCAAGAAATATTTCAAGGCCGTGAGTTGAGGAATTTAAAGATTACTTCCTTCCTTTGAGTTTATTCAGTTAAGCAATGTGTATTTTGTCCAGGCACTTTTCCTTGACTGAGGGTATGGTAGTACATAAGATAAAGTACCTGACCTCAAATAGTTGCAGTTGGCAATAAACAAGCAATCAAATAAATATGTATTGGTAACATGAATTTCAGGTGGTGAAAAGTACAACGATGAAAAATAGAGCAACTCTATGGGAGAGTGTCAGCGACAGGGGGGTCTCTATTGTAGATGTGGCTTGCAGAAAGGACCTCGCTGAGGATGTCATTTTCACTAAGACCCGAATGAATGTCATGTGTAAGACAAGGGAAAATACGAGAGAAAAAAAGAGTTGCAACCTTGAGGCAGGAATTTGTCTGGCATGCCTAGGCCCAGCAAGAAGGCCAATGTGACTGGAACAGAAAGAGGAAGAAAGGGAATAGAAACTCTGTGAGATTGGAGAAGTCACTGGGAGCCAGATTATATAGCATCATGGTAAAAATTTTAGATTTTGCTACAAACGTGATGAAAAGCTGTTGGCAGTTTGACTGTAGGGACTGACTCTGTCTTATGTTTTATAAGGTCACTCAGGTTGGGATATATTTTTAAGGTAGAGTCAACAGTGCTTGTTGATAAATTGAAATGAGGTCTGCAAAAAAAAGGAGGAATCAAGAGTAATGCCTATGATGAGCAACTTGATGACTCTGAATACATATATTGAGATAGGGAGCACTTCAAGAGTTGTGGTTTTGGTGAAGATCAGGAGCTCATTTTCAATGTGCTTAATTTGAGTTGCCTATTAGACATTAAAATAGAGATATCAAGGAAGGAATTGGGTAATGCCTGGATTTTCTGAGATAACTCCAGATATACATTAGGAAATCGTAAGCATAAGCATGATATTTAAAGCCTTAATACAGAAGGAAATTTCCCCAGAAAAATCAGTGCAGATAAACAAGGTTTAGAAGTTTTTGAGACCTCAATGTTTAATGAGAAAGCAACGAGAGGCCATAACAACTAATGTTGTAGGAAGAGAACTAGGAAAATACTCGTGGATGTTGAAGGTTGTTCTAATTATCTATTGATGCATAACAAATGATCCAAAAATTTAGTAGCATAAAACAATGCCTATTGTATATGCTTATGATTCTATAGCTCAGCAATTCAGGCAGGACCAAGTAGGCATGGTTTATGTTTGGAACCTCAGCTGGGGTAGCTCAAATAAGTGAAGATGGCTGAGTCACAAATCTAGGGCCTTAGTTCTTCTATACCCAGTCTCTCAGCATATTAGTTTGGACTCCATGACAGCATGGAGCTCTCAGGGTAGTCAGACGCCTTATGGGGTGGTTTAGGACTCTGAGAGACCAAAGCAGAAGTTGCCGTTCTCTTAAATGTTGGCCCAAACTGGCACAGAGTCCCTTCTGCTATAATTTATTGGTCAAATCATAACATTCAGCCCATATTTGATTAAAGGAGAAATAGACCCCACCTGATCATCTCTAATTTTCCTTGTCCCTCTCTCCCACAGTGGTTAACTATTAAAAATTAGTTTATAGTGCAATCATCATTAAAATAGCCATATATACAAAGGAGCTGGGACAGAGAGGGCTGTGTCTGATGGATTAGGAGAAAGCTTGACAGAAGGACTTCATTTGGGTTTTAAAGACTAGATGGAGTTTGCTGGATGGATCAGCAGTAGTAGCATGTACAAATGGAAAGTTTCATGGAACAGTACGCTGTGCTAAGGGAATGCAAATGTGCCTGCAGTGTGACCATGCTAGAAAGAGGAAACTTATCCAGTAACCACTGGATGTCACTTTGTAAAAGTTTTATTACAAAATTCCTGCTGTCAGCGTGTGGGATCAATCAGTATGAAAAGAATAGACATTAAAAAAATCATATAGGATCATATTGCAATTACAGTTTGGGAAAATACTGTCTGATTAAGTTATGGTTAGTGGGAATCAATAGGAGGGGAAAGACTTCAGAGGACTCAGTAAATATAGGATGGAACGATGAATTGCATTTATTTACTTATCCAATCTTTGTAGCACTTATTAGAAGCCTGGCACTGAATTGGGATTTAGAGAAACAAAAATGAATGGTGTGGTTCCTACCCCAGAGGGGCTCACAGTCTTGTGAGTATGATTTTGCCACGGGTTTAGAAAGGCCTGTGGAGACCTGGCGCGGTAGCTCACACCTGTAATCCCAACACTTTGGAGGGCCGAGGTGGGCAGATCACAAGGTGAGGAGATCGAGACCATCCCAGCTAACATGGTGAAACCCCGTCTCTACTAAAAATACAAAATAATTAGCTGGGTGTGGTGGCGGGCACCTGTAGTCCCACCTACTCGGGAGACTGAGGCAGGAGAATGGCGTGAACCTGGGAGGCGGAACTTACAGTGAGCCAAGATTTCCCCACTGTACTCCAGCCTGGGAGACGGAACGAGCCTCCGTCTCAAACAAAACAAAAACAAAAACAAAAACAAAAAAAAAAGAAGAAGAAGAAAGAAAGGCCTGTGGAATGTCTCAGAGCCTCTCGGTTGGAGCAGAAAAGTTACTGGTGAGTACAGATGCATGTATGTGATCTGCAGAAGCTAGTCAGGATCCAACTTGCATTTAATACATTTCCAGAGATGGTTCAGTTGCCTTTTTCTGCCAACTCCTGAGCTTTCATCCAAGAGAAATCAGTGTTTGCTTTGCAAGGTAAAACATTGATTTAGCCTTCAGCCTAGATGTTCTCTGCTTGTTGAGCCCCATAGGCAACTTCACATCTACACTTTCATCCTGTCTCTTTCAACTCCACTGTTTAAAAAAAGAACTTTCCTATTAAACACTGTTACTCTGAACAATCTCTAGCTTTTTACGTTTCTAGCCAAGCTGTTTTCAAAATACCTGCTATTTCTTATAGACTTATATGGTTTTTAACCCTTTTGAAATTATATTGAACTAGTCCTACCTTTTGATGTATTCAGTTTAGCAAGTATCAGGGACAGTTTTAAATTGATGCTTCAGTTTGTGGCTTTGTTATAGACGGAAGATTTGTGGCTGAAAATAGGGCTAAATCCTACTTCTTGAAGTTGCTTATTTTAGAGTCTCTAGAATCAGGCAGGCATGGATTTGATTCTCAAGTTTTTAAAAACTACATGACCTTGACCAAATTAACTCATCTCTCAAAGTCCAAGTCTCCTCAATCTTAAAATGGGTCTAATACATGAGACGGTGTTTGGCTATAATGTGCAAAAGACATAATAAGGTACAAAAACAGACACAGTTCTGGGAATATCCAACACTTAGATTTAATGTGTTAATATTTTACTAATTGTTTTTCAGATTTTTATTTATTTATTTTGAGACCGAGTCTCGCTCTGTGGCCCAGATTGGAGTGCAGTGGCGTGATCTCGGCTCACTGCAAGCTCCGCCTCCCAGGTTCACACCATTCTCCTGTCTCAGCCTCCCAAGTAGCTGGGACTACAGGAGACTGCCACCACGTCTGGCTAATTTTTTGTATTTTTAGTAGAGACGGGGTTTCACCATGTTAGCCAGGAATATCTCGGATCTCCTGACCTCGTGATCCACCCGCCTTGGCCTCCCAAAGTGCTGGGATTACAGGCATGACAGATTTTTAAAAATAAATGATATATATCAAGTGAACAATGTTTTTGAAGTGTAATCATCATTACTTGTAAATCGATTTTACTAATTTTAACTATTGCCAAGTATTTGATTTTATAAATGAAATAAATATGCAATCATTTATTTAGCCATTCTGTCTATAATAGACATTAATGTGTTTCCATTTTTATATTACCAAAAATTCTGCAATAAATATTTCACACATTTCTATGTGGTCACACATATTTATCTTGTTCTTTCTCCCCATATATATATATATCTAAATCTTGATGAAGATTCTATTTAGTTTTAAAAGTATGTATCAGAGTGCCTTTGCACTTCTCTATGTGGACAATCATAATATATAGAAGTAACGACTTAACGACTTTTTTTTTCCATTTCTTTGACAGGGACTTCCGGTTGTCTAACCCAAATGCCAATTTTTATATGGGCACCCTGCCACTCTTCTAAAAGACTACATTTTCCAGGCAATTTTGCAACCATTTGTGACCCTGTGACTTCATTCTGGTCAATGAGATTTAAGCAAAGTGTTGTGTGGGACTTTAGGAAAGCCTCCTTAAATGGGAAAAGGTGAGCTTGTCTTCCTCACTACTTCTTCCTGAAATTACCTAAAATGAAAATTCATTGGCTGGGAGTTTACCTTAAACAGAAGGCCATATGCAAAACTCGTACAGCAACAAGATAGAAGTATGGGTCCCTGATCACTTTGAAGCTACCACATCAATCCTGCCTGCCTGCCTCTAGATTCTCATTCCCTTCCTTCCTTCTTGCCTGCCTGCCTTCCTGCCTGCCTTCCTTCCTTCCTTCCTTCCTTCTTTCCTTCCTTCCTTCCCCTTCCTTCCTTCCTTCCTCTGTCTTCTCTCCTTCCTTCCTTCCTTCCTTCCTTCCTTCCTTCCTTCCTTCCTTCCTTCCGTGAGAGAGAAACTTCTATCTTATTTAAGGTATTATTATTTAAGATTTTTCTGTATGTACAGCTGAAACTAATCCTAATGGACACACTTTCCATTTCTCGTATCTCTTATCTGTTTTCCTTGAGCTATTGTGTTGCCTTTGACCTCCAGGAAAATACTGAATAATAGTGTTCATTGCAGCACTCCTTCTATTATTCTTACCTAGAATAGAAATGAATCAAAATCTTCTTCATTAAGTGTGATATTTGAGTTTTTGATATTAGAGTTTTTGTAGATATCTTTTGTTATTAAGGGAGAAGAAAATAAAAAGTACATCTTATCTGTCATCATTATACTTTATCCCAGTTAAAATCAGAGAAGCAGCCATTAACTACTAGTAGATAGTTGCATACATTAAATCTGACCATATACAAGTTTTTAAAGGCTGTTGCTCTTTTAAAATATTTCTCTTTATTTTTAATGTTATACAACAGGGACATTTATAATCCAAATATAATCCATATGTACATGTAACAAAATAAATCTTATAATAAGATTATAACAAAATAATATAGCATACTTGTGAAATAGCCACAGTTAAAATTCCCATGTCAGAGAATTCCTAGTATTGCTTTGCAATTGACTTTTTCTTTGTTTGTTTGTTTGCCTGGCATTACTACAGAGAGAAGAAACAAACTTTATCTTATGAACAAAAGATTCTTTTTGGTTCAGTATTCAATTTTTAATGATAGATTTCTGAGCTTGGCTTTTAAAAAAGTAGGCTGGATAAATGAACACAAATAAATAACAAAATAAATTTCTAATCACGTGGTACCTATAAAGAAGGTGCTGCCTTTATTTTAAAGAAAGAGAAGCATTGATTAAAGACTTTTCAGAAGAAATAAAGAATAAGGAGGATCAATATCAAGACTTCAAAAGATGGATCAATAGGAAAGATTAATATTTTGATCATTCCAAAATATTTGCTTGTTATAGACACTGCAAAGTAACATCCATCTTTTATTTCTTTTCAGAAGCCGAATACCTGTTAAATGTTACATACATACTCTAACATTTACTTTTAATGCACGTGCAAATACTTCACAATCTCCTTCTCTTAAAATCCAACAAAGCGCCTGCCCACCCAGGTCTTTTCTATAGTATTTTAAACACACGTCTGAAGTTGTTGGCCATATGTGCTAGAACTCTAACTGCTGCATTCGTTTGCAGACACAGACAAGATTTGGATTAGCTACCCAATTTAGATTTTGAAAATTGTATGATCTATGTTCTGAATAGAACCTCAAACCACAATGTTTTATTACACAAAAGATTTGCAGTAATGACCCCATCAAAATATTCATGTTTATAGAAATAGTGCTACCAGTATACAAGTTTATTTTTGCTCTTAAATATAGTAATATTGGAATGCATAAGGTTTCAAGTCAGCTGGATCTTTTATGTTATGTTCATGTTTCTCATCTGTTGATTCTACTACTTAAAATGTAACCTAAAGGAAGCAGATGGTAAGTAAGTGAATAAAGACTGGAATTCTAGTTCCATAATTATTTAAATAAGTCCCAGAGATTCGTTGGTAAAGTAGGCTTTTTTTTTTCTCTCAGAGATAGTATATATGAATCCTCTCCAAGGGTGTTGATACTAATGATAATCTTCACTATGCAACTCTGTTCAAACAAAGCGCATATTTCAGGAAAAATTACCAGAGTATTTTTGTCATTTTGCAATGAAAACAAATAAGATCATTCCGCTTCCGCAATTGAAAGGATTTCAGAGGTTAAGAGGAAAGTCAAACAGAAGTTTGACATTTTATTTCAAGAATTACCTCTTCAAGTCAATCCATATTCTCAGATGACTTGTGGCACCTGTTTATATCATCCAAGGTAGAGCAGATGGAGTTACTACAGGTGAGACTGAATTTGGGAAACAGGAAAATGCCACAAGATTTATGCACTAACAGATCTGAAATTGAATCATATGAAATTTCAGTATTTGACTTTTTGACTTTCAAAATGACAATTTCATTTTGTTCAACCCAACATTATTAATGGCTAATATTTATTAAGCAGTAAGGGTTTTATATGTATTCAATTACTTATTCCTCATAACTATGCAGTGTGGCAGTAATTATAGTAACCCTTCCCATTTGAGAGATGATAAAATGAGTCACAAAGGGATCAGAAATGTCCCTCAGGTCACACAGCTAGTAAGTCTTAAAGCTGGGTTTAGGATCTAGGTGCTCTGGCTTTGATGCCCGGGATCTTTACCTGCACTACACTGGTTATACACAAAATATAAATAAGGTCAAATTCATATTCCAGTTCTGGATTGCAAAATGCCCCAAATTTCTATCCATTGACCTAAAGGTAAAGCTAAATTCCAGACCCATGTATATGACTTCCTCTTGGACAGCTTCATCTGTATGTACTTCAGATTTTTTCTACTCAACATCTTCAAAAAAAAACCCCTTATTCTCTTTGTCCACACTGCTCAGTAGCCCATGCCAGAATTTTACGTTTCTCTTGGACTCCTCCTTAATTTCAAGTTCAATCAATTACCAGGTTCAGTCATATCTATTTCCTTATCTCTTTCATACCTACCTTCTTCCCTCCACCTCTACAACCAGAATTTCTCACCTGGGCAACTATAATAGGCTTCTATTTTTCTGCCTATGTCAACCATTGGTCTGCCTCAGTTCAATAATCCATCAATCACTGTGTGAATTTTTGAACATGTAAATCTGATCATGTTATACTTCCTCTTTCCTGATGGATAATTTGTATATAACTTATATTATTTTGCAACTCTTCACTGTTTTTTCCCATTCCTGCTAGTCTCAAGTTCCATGCAGAGAGTATTAGCCTATTGCATTTTGTAGTCACACTAATATACATACAATAGTGCTATGTTAAATGTGTGTAAACTGTGATTTATAATCATATTTCTTTATGTAATTGAGGTGCTTGTCACTTAAAGTGTTCACTTCAATTTCTCAAATTATTTGCTTTTGTATTTCTGTACTTTAAAATGATTTCAGGTCATTTGCAGGTACATTACACAGCATGAAATGGCGCCATAGGACTTGTAATTGGCCTAAGACTTCACTTTATAATTGGGCAGATCAAACTTCTTTGACTTATTAATTCTTATTTCTACTATAAACTGATATTTTTAAGGTTATTGGCATAGCATTTTATATTAACCCCGGTTCTTGTGGGGTTAGACTTTCATTTCTTCAGAAAGGATGGATTAAACAAAGTGAAGTCAATTTCTTCACAATTTCTTATATAAAGATGTCACTGGCATATTGAGCATTTCGCTCATGTGTTCAGATGCACATATTCACAATTGTGTTTGTTATCCACTTACTCCTCACTAGAGATAAATAACCTATTTTATTGGAGTGTGCCAGTATGTTGTGATTTGTCATGTAAAACCTAATTTTTAATTAACTATAATTTTACTTTTTCAGTATGTTGGTTTGCAATATTCCTTACAGCAGAAAATAAGATGAATAAGCTGTCTATGCTTGTGGTCCTTGAGGTGTTCTATAATGTTTAGATCCTTTTGGTTAAATTTCTTTTTTTTTTTTTTTTTTTTTTTGAGACAGAGTCTTGCTCTGTCGCCCAGGCTGGAGTGCCATGGCGCAATCTAGGCTCACTGCAAACTCCGCCTCCTGGGTTCACGCCATTCTGCTGCCTCAGCCTCCCCAGTAGCTAGGACTACAGGCTCCTGCCACCACGCCTGGCTAATTTTTTTTTGTAGTTTTCATAGAGACGGGGTTTCACCGTGTTAGCCAGGATGGTCTCAATCTCCTGACCTCGTGATCCGCCCACCTTGGCCTCCCAAAGTGCTGGAATTATAGGTGTGAGCCACCGCACCAGGCCTTTTTTGGTTAAATTTCATGAGAATTAGAGGTAATGTGGCATTGGAGGAGGATGGCATTGATGTGTCAGGAACTAATAAGAAACAGAGTAGAGACTGGTCTGGCTTCTTTCTTCAAAAAATCCCAGGAAAATATACAGCACCAGAGCTTTTACTAATGGGTAGGCCTGGTTCTACGAGACAAAGAACATAAGTATCACTCTTCTTCCTCTATAATAATTTAGAACTGGTTCATCCAGGTCCCATTGGCATCTCCTTGTCCTTTCTCACTGGCCAGTATCATATCTGAGTTACCCCTAACCACATGAAAAAACATTTTGCTACCCTTCCCACCACATTGAGTTGCAAGTGACTTCTGAGACTATCTCAGGCTGTCTAATTCGACACTCCACAGCAATTTCTCCTGTTTGGCTGGACTTAAGGGAATGCTGTGAGGCCAGCCCTCACCCTGGGGTGCACTTGGAAAGTGAGACAAAGTTATTCTGAGATTTCCATCACCTCTACATCACTAGTCCTGCAGTCTGCCTGTAGATGGGGGACAAGGAGTGGATCCTTTCTGACCAACATCTAACTCTTGTGTTTTTCCTCTCTTTTCTTTTAACCCTTTATGTAACATGCTTTATTTAGTCTCAGGAACAGTAAAAACAGGCTTAAGCTAATCATATATTCTTCTAGATCATCTTCCCTTATGCCTTGTCCCTAGCTTTTTATTTTCAAAAGTCAGTAATTTAAGAAATAAAAGCTATCCAAATTGAAAAAGAGGAAGTCAAATTGTCTGTTTGCAGATTACATTGTCTTATATACAGAAAAACCTAAAGACTCCACCCAAAACTCTTAGAACTAATAAATTCAGTAAAGTTGCAGGATACAAAAGTAATATAAAAATCAGTAGCATTTTTATACATAATCAACAAACTAGCTGGAAAAGAAATCAAGAAGTCAATCACATTTACAATAGCTACAAAAATACATAGGAATAAATTTAATCAAGGATGTGAAAGACTTCTATAAGAAAAACTGAAAAACACTGATGAAAGAAATGAAGAGGATACAAACAAATGGGAAGACATCCTATGCTCACGGATGAGACAAATTAATATTGTAAAAATGATAATACCATCCAAAACAATCTACAGATTCAATGCAATCCCTGTCAACATACCAATGGCGTTTTTCTAAAATTTGTATGGAGCTGCAAAAAACCAAGACTAGCCAAAGTAATCCTGAGCAAAAAGAAAAAAGCTAGAAGTATCACACTACCAGACCTCAGAATATACTACAAAGCTGTAGTAACCAAAATAGCATAGTATCGGCATAAAAACAGACACATAGACCAATGGAACAGAATAGAGGACCCAGAAATTAATTCACACATCTATAGCTAAATGATTTTTGACAAAGGCAAGAACACTCATTGGAGAAAGAATAATCTCTTCGATAAATGGTGCTGGGAAAATTGAAATTCATGTGCAGAAGAATGAAAGTAAACTCCCACGCCTTACTCTATATAAAAATCAACTCAAAATAGATAAAAGATCCAAGTGTAAGACTTGAAGCTATAAAACTACTTGAGGAAAACAGAAACCTTCAGGACATTGGTCTGGAAAGACATTTTATGAAAAAGACCTCAAAAACTAAGCTGGGCACTGTGGCTTACGTCTGTAATCTCAGCACTTTGGGAAGCTGAGGAGGGTAGATCACCTGAAGTCAGGAGTTTGAGACTAGCCTGGCGAACATGGTGAAACCCCATCTCTACTAAAAACACAAAAATTAGCTAGGCATGGTGGCACAGGCCTGTAGTCCCAGCTACTCAAGAGGCTGAGGCAGGAGAATCACTTGAGCCCGGTAGGTGGAGCTTGCAAGTGAATGGAGATTGTGCCACTGCACTTCAACTCCTGTGACAGAGAGAGACTCTGCCTTAAAAAAAAGAAGAAAAAAAATCCACAGGTAATAAGAAAAATAAACACACGAGATTATATCAAGCTAAAAAGCCTCTGCACAGCAGTGAAGGAAACAATTAACAGAGTGAAAAGGCAGTCAACAGAATGGGATAAAATATTTGCAAACTACTCATTCACAGGGTATTGATATCCAGAATATACAAGGAATTTAAACATCTCAACAGCAAAAATAACAATCAGGTTAAAATATGGGTAAATAATTTGAACAGACATTTCTCAAAAAACATACAAATGACCAACAAATATATGAAACAATGCCCATCAGAGAAATGTAAATCAAAACCAAAATTAGGTATCATCTTATGCCAGTTAGGACGGCCTGTTAGCACAAAGACAAAAATTAACAAATGCTAACAAGAATGTGGAGAAAAAGGAACTCTTACATACTGTTGTTGGGAATGCAAACTAGTACAGCCACTATAAAGAATAGTTTGAAGTTTCCTCAAAAAACTACAATAGGACTGCCTATGACCCAGGAATCCCACTATTGGGAATCTATCCAGAGAAAAGGAAATCATTGTTTTGGAGAGACATCTGCACCCCCACATTTATTCACATTTATTGCGGCACTAGTCACAATAGCCAAGATGTGGAATCAACTTAGGTCTCCATCAACAGATAAATGAATAAAGAAAATATACTATACATATTAAATGAAGTACTATTCAGACATAAAACACAATGAAGTCATTTGTGGCAACATGGATGGGCTGGAGAACATTATGTTAAGTGAAATAAGCCAGAAACAGAAAGTTAAACATTGCATGTTCTTGTTCGTATGTGGAAGTTAAAAAAAGTTGATCCCATAAAAGTAAAAAGTAGAACAGAGAGTACCAGAGGCTGGGAAGGGTAGAAGGAAGGGAAGGATAGGGGGAAATTTGTTAAAGGATACAAAATTATAGCTAGATAGAGGGAATAAATTCTACTGTCCTATATCACTGTAAGATGTCTGTAGTCAACACTAATATATAGTTTCCAATAGCTGTAAGGAGGATCTTGAACATTCTAATCCAAAGAAATAATGAATACTTGAGATGATGAATATGCTAATTATCCTAATCTTATTTGTATTAGGGTTCTCTAGAGGGACAGAATAGGGTAGATACATAAAGGAGATATATGTGTGTGTGTGTGTGTGTATATACATACAACAGATACCCTATCTCTAATAGGGTAGACATATAAAGGAGTTTATTAAGTATGAACTTACATGATCACAAAGTCCCACAATAGGCCATCTGTAAGCTTCAGGAGCAGGAGTGCCAGTCCAAGTCTCAAAATTGAAGAACTCGGAGTCTGATGTTCGAGGGCAGAAAGCATCCAGCAAGGGAGAAAGATGTAGGCTGGGAGGCTAGGCCAGTCTTGCGTTTTCATGTTTCTCTGCCTGCTTTATATTCGGTGGCAGCTGATTAGATTGTGCCCACCAGATTAAGGGTGGGCCTGCCTTTCCCAGTCCACTGACTCAAATGTTAATCTCCTTTGGCAACATCCTCACAGACACATCCAGGAACAATACTTGCATCCTTCAATCCAATGAAGTTGACACTCAGTATTAACCATCACATCACTGTTCATTCTTTGTATTGAAACATCACTATGAACTCCATGAGTATGTGCAATTATTATTTGTCAATTAAAAATACAAATTTTAAAAAATGTCAAGAATTTGCCTTACCTGCCATTGTCTCTGTTGTGTCATCCCTTCCCAGAGGAGAATAGGTACTGAATATTTTTACTGCTTATTACCGCTTGAAGGAGGAAAGGTAGCTAAAAATATAGAGAAGAAAAACAGTAGTTATTATATCAAAAGTTTTTTGTACTATATGCAATTTTATTTTGGTTGTTTTATTATAGTTTTAATCTTACTTAGTCATTACTATAGTAAAAACTTAATTCTGGTTAATTAATGCTAATATTTTTAGTATTAGCAAAGCATTACAAGAACAAATTTTAAAATATTTAGCCTTATTACAAGCCCATTGTCAGAATTAAAATGTACCTGGAATAGGCTTCCTATATGTGTTTCAATTGGTTTATGTTATATATATATTTTTTACTTATAAGTAAAAATCATTTGTAATTAGGATACCAATGAACCAGGCTATATTTAAATTACACTTTATTACTCATTGGCTTTAGCAAGTTAAATCTAGCAGTATCATTCTTTTAATGTGTACCTTTTAAACTAATGAGAATTTATTTCACTATGCTGTAGAATAAAATGTCAAATAAGGAGAAGCCACAAATATTTATTTTATTTATGGGTCATAGCATTCTCAAAAACTGTATCTAGAAATTAAAAAGTTGAAATAGAAAAAAAAAAAAAACCCTAAGCAAAAAGAGTTTAAGAAGTGCTAGATCCAGGAATAGAAAACCAAACATCGCATGTTCTCCTTCATAAGTGTGAGTTCTCACTCATTGGGAGGGACACAGGGAGAGGAACATCACACACCGGGGCCTGTCAGGGATGGGGTCAAGGCGAGGGAGAGCATTAGGACAAATACCTAATGTATGTGGGGCTTAAAATCTAGATGACAGGTTGATGGGTGCAGCAAACCACCATGGCACATGTATACCTATGCAACAAACCTGCACATTCTGCACATGTAACCCAGAACTTAAAGTATATGTATAAAATAAAGAAGGGCTAGATCCTTTCAGGTGGTTTCTGAAATCAGCTACCGAAGATATTTGATGTACTTTTATTCCTGTCAGTTCTAGCAAAGATTATGGAAAAACAAATAATTTGTAAATGCTGAGAATTGTACTTACTTCAGAGGATTATTGTAAGAATTAGTTGAGAAACCCAGAGCCTGGCACATGATAAATTCTCAATAAATGCATAATAAATATGTTTCTGATGGCATCTGGGAGGAAACTATATCAGAAAAAGGACAAAACTGTTCCTGATCCTGTACAGAAAGTAAGACCTCCTGGACTGTGATGTCCTTCGAGGGTTAGGTGCTAGGGTTCACAGAGCACATAGCTTTAATGGGAAGGGAAGGTCATTCACAGGGAACAGAGAGAGTTGGGACAGATGCTGAGAATCTAATAGGATGGGGAATGCAAAGGATTTTGAACACAGGCAAAAGACATTTGGCCTGCCAGAGAACAGCCAAGGTGTTCCAAACGTGAAGCAACTTCCAAAAAGTGAAGATTCACAGGCAAGATAAGTTACCAGAAAAAGAAAAAGAATAAAGGGAAAGCACTCTCAGAGGATATTGTAGGGAGGGCAGCAAAGCTCTAGCAATAAGACAGTAAGGCACTGAGTAAATGACAGGTTTCCAGCTGAGCTCTTCCTTCTATAGAAGCAGAAACAGATCAAGAGCAAGACCCAGACACTGACAAGAAAATATCTAGCTGTTAAAATTCACTTAGGATTAGTTATCAAAATTAAAATAGATATGGTACTTTAAAAAAAGGCATTAATTCATATTATATAATTATACTGTATGATTATTCTTAAGCGCACATTTATCTTATTGAAGTTTCAGTAAAGAATTCTGAGAAATGATTATATTTTTATAAACCATCTGGTTTAGCTGCAGGCAAACTCGGGGAAAAATATATCTGATGAGGTTAATCTTTTTCGTTTCCCAACAAATCAGAACAAAGACTGAGGAGAAGGAGGGATATTCAGAACTGAAACAACAAATGTAAAGGGACTTAAATATTTGTATATACAATTTTTGACATTTTAAACATTACTTGAGAACCATTTTTCTTCACCACAATTATGTTAAATCTTCCATCATTTTATATATGATCAAATGTGATATATTAAGTCAGTATTTTGAGGTAATTAGTACATTTAAGACCACAGTCATTTGGGGAGCTAACAGTGGGGGACTTCATAAACTAAGGTCCCTGAACTGTCTTTCCATGTGGAGAATGATTAATTCAAGACCACCACCCACATGCAATAATACAGTTTTCCCGCATTCTCTGCCTCCTTGTTTTTACATCTTCGGTCTCATTTTCTCTTCACTCTGTATGATTCTAACCCCTTCCCTCCCTGATATCATCACTTAATATTTACTGCTTTTCTTTCCAAAAAAGTACACTAAAGAGAAAAAAAGTCAAATGTAGAATCATCAGTTCTTTGTTTAATGGTATCAATGCTTTGTTTAATGGTATTATTGAAATTTAAAGAAGTAATTTAATTTAGGTTCAGTTTAAATTGTTTACTTGTCTTGGATTCTTATTAGCGCCTTTTTTTTTTTTTTTTTTTTTTTTTTTTTTGAGATGGTGTCTGGCTCAGTCATCCAGGATGGAGTGTAGTTGCTCAGTCTCACTGCAACCTCTGACCTCTGCCTCCTGAGTTCAAGTGATTCTCCTGCCTCAGCCTCCTGAGGAGCTCGGATTACAGGCACCTGTCACCATGCCTGGCTAATTTCTGAATTTTAGTAGAGATGATGTTTCACCATGTTGGTCAGGCTGGTCTTGAAATCCTGACCTCAAGCAATTCACCTGCCTTGACCTCCCAAAGTGCTGGAATTACAGGCATGAGCTACCGTGCCTGGCCTTATTCTTACACATGTAATTGATTATTTAATAACATTTAATTTCTGACTTTTCTAATTCAACCTTAGAATTAAAGGCATTAGTTTAGCAGTGGACCAGAAGCTGTGCACAGAGCAAAGTCCTTGTCCTTATAGAGCGTATATTACAGAAAGAGATATAGAAAAAAAAAATAGAGAAATATAAGATATAATTTTAGGTACTGATGGGTGTTATAAGAAGAAATATATAGAGTGTGAATTGAGAAAATGGCGGGCAGGGATTTGTTTTAGACAGAGTTAGTGTGTGAAAGTGAACAAGAAAGGGATGAATGTAGAGTTCAAAAGGACATAGCTCATGGAGGGCCTTAGAAGTCTTGGCGAGGACTTTATTCTGAGTTTGATGAGAATCCATTGGAGGGATAATGTCAGAAGATTGATAATATGATTAACACTTAAAAAGAATTGCTTTAGCTACTATAGCAATATGAAGATGAACATCAAAGAGGAGTCAAGTCAAGATTATGCAGCAGTTAGAAGAGGAAGGGATGGGAAATGGTCAGGTTTGAGTTACGTTTCGAAGTAGAGATGATGGTATTTGATAATGGTATTTGGACACTAGATGATTAGTTTAGCACTTAAAGTTATAAAAATCTTAAATGAGTTTTTGTTTGATAGAGGGCATAGCTCTCATCCTCCCATGTTGGGAATAAGCCCCCCAAAATCTGGCCATAAACTGGCCCCAAAACTGACCATAAACAAAATCTCTGCAGCACTGTAACATGTTCATAATGGCCCTAACGCCCAAGCTGGAAGGTTGTGGGTTTATGGGAATGAGGGCAAGGAATACCTGGCCCACCCAGGGTGGAAAACTGCTTAAAGGCATTCTTAAGCCACAAACAATAGCATAAGCAATCTGTGTCCTAAGGGCATGTTCCTGCTGCAGTTAACTAGCCCAACCTATTCATTTAATTCGGCCCTTCCCTTCGTTTCCCATAAGGGATACTTTTAGTTAATTTAATATCTATAGAAACAATGCTAATGACTAGTTTGCTGTTAATAAATGCTTGGGTAAATCTCTGTTCGGGGCTCTCAGCTCTGAAGGCTGTGAGACCCCTGATTTCCCACTTCACACCTCTATATTGCTGTGTGTGTGTCTTTAATTCCTCCAGCGCTGCAGGGTTAGGGTCTCCCCAACCAAGCTGGTCTCGGCAAGTGGCGTCCATTGTGGGGGGTAGAATCCAGGTCGAAGAGTCACCAGAGTGACAGTTGGAATGGAAAACTAGCTGGAGGACACTCAAGTACTCTTAAAGCAATCCCCGTGGTGAGTAAGAAGGGGAGCTCGGAAGTGTCAGGGTAACAGTGGGACAGGTGTGGGGTCTGGTTCGTTCCACCTTGGAACTTTTTCACACTAATGAGAAGGAGAAAGGAGAGTATAGTGAAGTAACAAGAGGTTACAGAACATGTTTATTTGCCAGCTAAAGCTAAAGTGGCAAAGGAAGGAGAGGTTCATCCCTACCCTTCTGCACCCCCTCATCATTATTTTGAAGAAAATGACCCCCCAGATCTTTCTTTTCCGGAGGACACTGGGTGAAAAGTAGTTACCCCAGTGACTGTTCAAGCAGCTCCTCGAGCAACTGCTCTTAGTTCTATTCAGGCAGGAATTCAGCAAGCTAGATGAGAGGGTGATTTAGAGGCTTGGCAGTTCCCTGTTAGAATACACCCCCTGGATCAAGAGGGAAATATTGTATCTACATTTCAGCCTTTTCCTTTAAAATTACTCAAAGAATTAGAACAAGCAATAAGTCAGTGTGGACCAGGTTCTCCTTCTGTAATGGGACCTTAAAGAATGTTACTGTTTCCAGTTGGATTATTCCTACTGACTGGGACGCTCTTACTCGAGCTTGTCTAATTCCTGCTCAATTCTTGTCAATTAAAATTTGGTGGAGAGATGAAGCTTCCATTCAGGCTCCTCACAATGCCCAGGCACAACCTCAAATTAATATAACTGTAGACCAACTTTTGGGGGTTGGCAGCTGGGCTGGTTTAGATGCACAACTGGGCATTCAGGATGATGCCATAGAACAGTTTAGAGGAGTGTGCATTAGAGCTTGGGAAAAAAATCACTTCAGGTGGAGAACAATACCTTTCCTTTAGTGCTGTAAAACAGGGACCCAGAGAACCATATGTTGGTTTTATAGCTCGGTTACAGGAGTCTCTTAAAAAGATGATTGCAGATTCGGCTGCTCGGGATATAGTGTTGCAGTT